GAAACCGTTTGGAAACCCAGGTGTTGGTATCGGTCCGGCAGGCTCTCGCGCTCAATGGTATCCCAAAACAGAATGCCCGGCTCGGCAGAGGCCCAGGCATTGTGTATAATTTTTTGCCACAGCGCTTTGGCGTCCACCTCCTTTGTAACCAAGGGATCTTTTGCACCGATGGGGAATTTTTGAACGTAATTCTCGCCTTTCTTTACCGCTTTCATAAAGGCGTCAGTAATTCTTACCGATACGTTGGCTCCGGTTACTTTGGTTCCATCCAGTTTGGCATCAATAAAAGCTTCGGCATCGGGGTGATCCACCGAAATGCTCAGCATTAGGGCGCCTCGCCTACCGTCTTGCGCCACTTCGCGCGTGCTGTTGCTGTAACGCTCCATAAAGGGCACTACTCCGGTGGCGGTTAGGGCCGAGTTTTTTACCGGTGAGCCTTTCGGCCGAATGTGGCTCAGGTCATGGCCAACGCCACCCCTGCGTTTCATGAGCTGTACTTGCTCCTCGTCAATTTTCATCACCCCACCGTAGCTATCGCTAGAACCATCGTTGCCAATAACGAAGCAATTTGAAAGGGAGGCAATTTGAAATTCGTTGCCTATGCCCGTCATAGGGCCGCCTTGCGGTACAATGTATTTGAAACGATCCAAGAGATTGAACACCTCTTCCTCATTCATTGGGTCGGGGTATTTTGCCTCAATACGTGCAATCTCAGAAGCCATTCTACGGTGCATGTCGGCAGGCGAGCCTTCGTAAATATTGCCAAAAGAGTCTTTTAATGCGTATTTGCTCAGCCACACGCCTGCGGCCAGTTCATCGCCATTAAAGTATTCAGTAGCCTGCGCCAGGGCTTCTTCGTAAGGTATTGCTAATCGGTCGGTTAAATCTTGTGCAACTGCTGTTTTCATGTGTCCAATTTTGTGAGTAGAATGGATTATGAAATTATTGATTAGAATGTTTGGTGCAACTTGAAAATGCACATTGCTAGTAACCATGCAATGTTAAAAACTCACCAAACTTGAGGCTGATTTGCGATTTAGCTGGTACGGGTTGTGAAGAATAAATGTTCGGGACAATTATTGCTTTTCCACAAGAAACCAGGAGGAGTGAGCACGCTTTATTTCTACAACAGTATGCGGTCTAGCGCTACATCGTGGTTTTCGCGCGGTACTTTTTCTACCAATTGAAAAGGGAAGGCCAGGCCTACCTTTAGGGCTTTTGGTTGGTCTTTTAAGAAGGCATCGTAGTACCCGGCACCAAACCCCAAACGAAAATTTTGCGCATCAAAGGCAAGGCCGGGGATAATGATGAGGTCATAGTGACCATCATAAGTGGTACTGTTGGCCGGGTGACGGGTGCCAAAAACTCCTTCTTCTAATTCCTTTAAACTGTTTAGGATCAAATTGCGCATTTGACGCCCCGGCAGGGCCTGAGGGGTGGACACTGTAATTTTTTTATCCAGCAGATAATGCAACACCGGAGTGATGTCAATTTCACCTGGCATAGGCAGGTAGGCGTGAACGCTTTTTGCTGCCCGCTCATTAATCAGGTCAATTAGATTTTGGGATATGCGCTCTGAGTGTACTTTGCGTTCCTGAGCCGATAGGCCATTCCGCTTGCGCAACATCTCCTGACGCAGGTTCTGCTTTTGCTGTTTGATAGCTTCCGTCATGCTTGTAGAACTTCTGAAATGGCCGTGAGAATTTTGTCGGTAGCCTGTCCTTTGCTGCGTAAATAATCTTCAATTTTGCTTTGCAAACGCTGGTAATGTTCAGGCTTGTCAACGAGCGCATTGAGCAGGGGGATAAACGCTTGGGCATCCTTAATTTCAAATCCAAAGCCCCTTTCAATCATTTCGGCCGGTTCCAGAAATTTCTGGTGGTTGGGCCCGAAGGCCACCGGAATTTTGTAAGCGGCAGCTTCAATGGTGCTGTGCACGCCCGGACCAAAAGCTCCGCCCACCAGTGCGAAATGACCAAAGCGGTACAGCAATTTAAGTTGGCCTATATTGTCAATGAGCAACACGCGGTGCTCCGCTAGCCATTGCGAACTGCTAAACCGCGACAAGCCAAATTGACTAAAGGCCCGCTCCACTCGCTCAATATTTTTTGAATCTACCAAATGAGGCGCAAGGATGAGCTTAATATCACTGCGACTCTTGAGCGCTTCAATTAAAATTTCTTCTTCTGGTGGCCAACTGCTGCCGCCAATCAGGCAAAATTTGTCTCCCAGAAAGTTGCGCACGCTTTGGTGGTGCTCATACCCTTCTTGGGTAAGCTTCAATACGCGGTCAAAACGGGTGTCACCGCAAACGGAAACGTTGGTAAGGCCCTTGGATTCCAATAGCCGCAGCGATTGTTTGTTTTGAACCAAAATCTTGTTAATGCCTTCAAATATGGCTTGGTAAAATTTCCAGGCGATAGGGGAGAAGAAAAACTGCTTTTCGCGAAAGAGGGCCGGTGCGAGAATAAGCGGAATGCCGGCTTTTTGCAATTGCTTAAAGTAGTTTACCCAAATTTCGTACTTAATGAATAATGCCAGGCAGGGATTTACAATGGAAATAAAATCACTGGCGTTTTTAGGGCTGTCTAGCGGTAAATAGCAAATGTGGTTGGCCAGGTGTTTTTCTTTGAAGTTTTCAAAACCACTGGGAGAGAAAAAGCTGATGAGTATAAATTTCTCGGAATACCGTTTCCGCAGGGCTTCCACGATGGGTAAACCGGCTTCCATTTCGCCCAGTGAGGCTGCGTGTATCCAAATGGGACGGTCGGCAGCGTTTATCGCTAAGCTTAGCCTTTGCCGCCAATTCTTTCGGCCGGTGAGCCAAAGTTTAGCTTTTTCATTTTTAAAAGACGCCAACTTAACGGCCAGGCCGTAGGCGCGTATGCCTGCATTGTAAAGTGCTTGCATTAATTGGTGTAATATTCCTGGGTTTTGCCGCCTTGATAAATGGGTAAATACCAGGTGATTTTGAATCCGTAGTTCAGGTTTAATTGGGTTTTGTCACTGGCGTAGCCCTCGCCATAATGATATGCGCGCACGTTTTGCGTAAAGGCCTGCATGAATTCAAAACTGAGCTTGAAATTTACTTTCCGGTTAGGCGATAAATAGAGGTAGCCAATGCTTTGTTTGGTCAGCGGGCCCTGGCCGAGCTGATCGTAGCCGTGTTCGTAATTATCATTTATTTGGGGGGAGTCATTTCCGGCATTGTCTATTCTAATCCAGTGCCACAGATAGCCCGCGCCAATGCCAAATATTGGTCCGGAGTTGCGGTTGGGCCGCCAAAAATTAAATACTTTTTCCAGGTTAAAATTGGTATAAACCGAGCGCTGATAAAGCGTGAGTGTGGCAAAATTGCCATTGAGGTTTATGAGGTTGCCATTTTGAGTGGTGAGGTGGCCTATTACCGCTTCGCGGTTTTTAATTGCTCCGCCAAAGCCATACACTCCTTCCAGGCTAAGTAAGTAGTTGCCACCCGATTTCCACCCGGCTTCCAGACCAACGCCAGAGCTAGTGGAAAAATGCTTGGTCCAATCGCCACCGGGTTCTTGAATACTTCCTGAAACCCCCACCATAATAGCCCGGCCAGCCGAAAATTTGGTTTGAGCAAATGCTGATAATGAGCTTAGTGAGATTAGAATTATTAAGAAATACCTGTGCATATTGTTGTTTAAAAAAAGCAAAATTAAGGGAACAATGCCTTACGTGATATTTATATTTGCCCATAGTTCCATTTATACATGAAGAAAATCCAGATGGTTGACCTGCTCAGCCAATATGAGAAGATAAAACCAGAGGTTGATAAAGCCGTACTCGATGTAATTGAATCTTCTGCGTACATCAACGGGCCTGAGGTTAAAAAATTTCAAAAAGAACTAGAGGAATACCTAAACGCGAAGCACGTAATTCCCTGTGCCAACGGTACCGATGCCCTCCAAATTGCAATGATGGGCCTGGGCTTAAAGCCAGGCGATGAGGTAATAACCGCCACCTTTACTTATGTGGCTACGGCCGAAGTTATAGCGCTGTTGGGGCTAAAACCCATTTTGGTTGACGTTGACCCCGATACTTTTGGCCTTGATCCGCAACAGGTGAAAGCGGCAATAACGCCTAAAACCAGGGCCATTGTGCCGGTACACCTCTTTGGGCAATGTGCCGATATGGATGCCGTAATGGCAATAGCCCGCGAGCATAACTTGTACGTGGTAGAGGATACCGCCCAGGCCATTGGTGCAGAATACATTTTTAATGATGGTACCAAAGCCATGGCCGGTACCATGGGCAATATTGGGGCTACCTCTTTTTTTCCCAGTAAAAATTTAGGCTGCTTTGGCGATGGGGGAGCGCTTTTCACCAACGATGACGATTTAGCCGCCCGCTTGCGGATGATTGCTAATCACGGGCAAAGCAAACGCTACTACCACGATTCAATTGGCGTGAACTCGCGGCTCGACAGTATTCAGGCGGCCATTCTGCGTAAAAAATTACCGCACTTAAACACCTATAATGCGGCCCGTAGAGAGGCGGCAGATTATTACGATGAGGCTTTTGCCGATGAGCCTAAACTTAAAACTCCGGTAAGGGCCCAAAACTCTACCCACGTATTTCACCAATACACTTTGCAGCTAGATGAAAGTGTAAACCGTGACGACCTGGTGACCTACCTTTTGGAAAGAGAGATCCCCGCCATGATTTATTATCCTGTAGCCTTGCACATGCAAAAGGCCTATAAGGATGATCGGTACAATGCGGGCGATTTTCCAGTAACCGAAAAGCTGGTAAACTGCGTGTTTTCATTACCCATGCACACCGAATTGAGCCAAGAGCAACTTCAACGAATAACCCAAACAGTTTTAGAATTTATAAATAACCAATCATGAAGATAGTAATTGTTGGTACCGGCTACGTTGGCCTGGTTACAGGAACTTGTTTAGCCGAAGTAGGTATAGACGTGATTTGCGTAGATGTAGATCAACAGAAGATTGACAACCTAAAGAAAGGTGTGTTGCCTATTTACGAGCCCGGCCTCGATAAATTGGTGCACCGCAATTACGAGAAGGGCCGCCTGAGTTTTTCTACCAAACTGCCTGAAGCCATAAAAGGCGCAGACGCTGCTTTTATTGCCGTGGGTACACCTCCCGGTGAAGACGGCAGCGCTGATTTGAAATACGTACTGGCGGTGGCCCGCGAAATTGGTGAGAATATGAATGATTACGGGGTAATCATCACCAAGAGCACCGTGCCCGTAGGTACAGCCGCTAAAGTGCGGAAGGAGATTCAGGACGCACTTGATAAGCGCGGGGTTTCTATCGATTTTGACGTGGCTTCTAATCCGGAGTTCCTGAAAGAGGGTGCGGCCGTAAACGATTTTATGAAACCCGATCGTATTGTGATTGGCGTAGAGTCTGACCGTGCTAAAAATATTTTGGAAAAGGTATATCATCCTTTTACACTCAACGGCCACCCGGTAATCTTTATGGATGTTCCTTCGGCTGAAATGACCAAATACGCGGCAAACGCCATGTTGGCAACCAAAATTAGCTTTATGAACGATGTGGCCAACCTTTGCGAAATTGTTGGGGCCGATGTGAATAAAGTGAGAACAGGCATAGGCTCTGATCCGCGCATCGGAAACAAATTCATTTATCCTGGCATCGGTTACGGAGGCAGCTGCTTTCCCAAAGATGTAAAAGCATTGGTGCGTACGGCTCGCGAAAACGGGCACGAAATGCGCATTTTGCAGGCAGTAGAAGATGTTAATGAAGATCAGAAGTCTGTATTATTCAATAAGATTAAGAAGAAGTTTGGCGACCTCAAGGGCAAGCATTTCGCCATGTGGGGGCTGTCGTTTAAACCCAATACCGATGATATGCGCGAGGCACCGTCCATCGTGATTATTGAAAAACTACTGGCAGAAGGTGCTACGGTTTCTGCCTATGATCCGGTAGCCATGGAAGAGGCCAAGCACGATTTGGGCGATAGAATTACCTACGCCAATGATGAATACGCTACCCTCGACAACGCAGATGCCTTGTTGGTGGTAACCGAGTGGAGTGAATTTCGGGTGCCGGATTTCAAAAAGCTGAAGGAAAAATTAAACCAACCGCTCATTTTTGACGGACGCAATATTTTTGAACTAGACCGCATGGCCGATCTTGGCTTTGAATATCACTGTATTGGTGTAAAATCAGCATAATTATGAAAAGGGTTCTGATAACAGGCGCGGCCGGCTTTTTGGGCTCGCATCTTTGCGATAGATTTATCAAGGAAGGCTACCAGGTGGTGGGCATGGATAACTTGATTACCGGTGATTTAAAAAACATTGAGCACCTATTTAAACTCAAGGAGTTTGAATTTTATCATGCCGATGTTTCCAAGTTTATTCACGTGTCTGGTGATCTGGATTATATCCTGCACTTTGCCTCTCCGGCCAGCCCAATTGATTATTTGAAGATACCTATTCAGACCCTGAAAGTGGGTTCCCTGGGAATTCATAACTGCCTCGGACTGGGTATGGCCAAAGATGCCAGGGTGCTTATTGCCTCCACCAGCGAGGTGTACGGTGATCCTATGGTGCATCCGCAAACAGAAGACTACTGGGGCAACGTAAACCCGGTGGGGCCGCGTGGAGTGTATGACGAAGCCAAGCGCTTTCAGGAGGCCATGACCATGGCTTACCACACTTACCACGGCTTGGAAACCCGCATTGTGCGTATATTCAACACCTATGGTCCGCGCATGCGCCTGAACGATGGCCGAGTGTTGCCCGCTTTTATTGGCCAGGCCCTTCGCGGGGAAGACCTGACCATTTTTGGCGATGGCTCACAAACGCGTTCATTTTGCTATGTTGACGACTTGGTGGAAGGCATTTACCGTCTGTTGCTAAGCGATTATGCCCAACCGGTAAACATTGGCAACCCCGATGAAATTACCATTAAAGATTTTGCGGAGGAGATTATTCAACTAACCGGTACCGATCAAAAAGTGACCTACAAGCCACTGCCTAAGGATGATCCCACCCAAAGACAACCGGATATTTCTACGGCCAAAGAAATACTGGATTGGCAGCCAAAAGTGAGTAGGAGCGAGGGTTTGAAAATTACCTATGAGTACTTCAAAACCTTGTCGCAAGACGACCTGCACAAAAAAGAGCACAAAGACTTTTCAGAATATTCCCGTAAAAAGTAAGTATGGCTAAAATTCTGGTTACCGGAGGGCTCGGTTTTATCGGATCGCACACCGTAGTTGAGTTGCAGCAAGCAGGCCACGAAGTAGTGGTGGTGGACGACTTGAGCAACACCACCATTGAAGTTCTCAAGCGCATTGAGAAAATTACCGGCCAGGAGCCAACTTTTATAAAGGGCGACCTGAAGGTGCGGCAAACGGTATCGGGCTTATTTCGAGCGCACCCGGATTTGGACGGTGTAATTCACTTTGCCGCTTTTAAAGCCGTAGGTGAATCGGTTGAAAAGCCGCTTGAGTATTACGAGAATAATATTTCATCGCTGGTGTACCTCTTGCAGGAACTGCGCGATAGAAAGCTGGATAATTTCATTTTTAGCAGCAGCTGCACTGTGTACGGGCAGGCCGAAAAATTACCAATTACCGAAAACAGCCCGGTAGTGCCGGCCATTTCGCCCTACGGCAATACCAAGCAGATTGGCGAGGAAATAATTACCCAGGCCGTAGAAGCACACAATTTCAAGGCTATTTCTTTGCGCTATTTCAACCCGGTTGGGGCGCACCCCAGTGCGGAAATTGGCGAATTACCATTAGGTGTTCCTCTAAACCTGGTGCCCTATGTAACACAAACGGCTGCGGGATTGCGCGAGCAGCTTTCGGTTTTTGGCGATGACTACCCCACCCGCGATGGAACTGCCATTCGCGATTACATCCACGTGGTTGATCTGGCGAAAGCCCACCTGGTGGCCATGGAGCGCCTCCTGCAAAAGAAAAACGAGGAGAATTACGAGGTTTTTAATTTGGGAACGGGCACGGGAAGTACCGTATTGGAGGTTATCAAGGCCTTTGAAAAAGTAAGTGGCGAAACGCTCAACTATAAAATTGTAGATCGCAGGGCAGGTGATGTAACCGCGGCCTATGCCGATACCACCAAAGCCAATAAAGTGCTGGGCTGGAAAACCGAAAAAACATTAGAAGACGCCATGGCCGATGCCTGGCGTTGG